AGAATTGTTATTTAACTGATATCACTTAGTTAGGTACCTCCACGAAATTGCTAAAAAAAAAATATAGCATGAAAAAAAACGATGTAATAAATTTTTATCGGCTTAAATATATATATCATTCTTAAGAAGAAACACCAAAGTATTTTTTTGATTATTTTAAAAATTTTTACTCATTCTTATCAGGTCCGAAATTTTATTTAAAAAATGTTGTTTATTTCTGTCATCAAAATTACTTTAAAAAAGTAGCTATCAGCCATTTTTTTCTAATTTTGTAAACAAGTTAAAATCCTCGTTTATAATTATTCCAAAAAATCAATTCTACGTTTTCAAAATTTATTTGACTAAAATTAGCAAATTTAAAGATGATTTAAAATATTTTGAAAGAAGCTTTTACTTACTTTTTTCGAATAAAAAAATTGTTCGAAATAAAAAGTAGGCGATCTGAACTGTGTTGTCAATTTTCAAGTGCTGAGTGATGCCTGTCATCACATATCGACAACTAACGTGAGATTCGCGTTATCATACGGATGGTCATACGTGACGTAACGTTTTTTTTTTTTTTTACGTGAATCAGCTTATGTACTACCCCGGTAATTAGTAGATAATAAAAACAAAAAATTAGCATTCCAATTTCCTTTATTTTGTTATTTTATTATTACTGGAACTTAAAACATAACTTTGTTGATACTATCTATAGAGATAATAAATACTATAAATAATGAAATCTACGCTTACCTCAAGCCACGTGACGTTTTATAACTTGTGACCTTCCGTACTTTTTTAATGACAAGCCATTTAAGCGCTTTTTATCAAAACATAATTACATTTCTTCATTAGTGGGTATCATCGGATTGGTCCAAATTATACAATTTTCAAATCCCTAGACAATGACGAGCTAAGAAAGAGAAGTACAAAGGTGGATGGTGCTGTTAATTATTTTTATAAGTTTTTTAAAAATTTAATGAAAAAGTTTTAAAATTTCGATTTAAAATTAAAGAAATGAGAAATAATTGTATTAAAAATTCAATTTTCATTGAAAAAATTTTTGCTTTCAGAAAATATTGTCCATATTCATACGAACAAATAAAAACAAATAAAAGCGTTTGAGATTAAATAGTATAATTGTTTTTATTGAGTTTTGTATGTTACAATTCAGAGCTGATTTTCAGGTACTGGGTCAATGATTTACATTCTTCAAAGCCTTGTGCTTTAAATATTGTAATCATTAAAAACCGATGGTATGGATTTTTTAGAGTTTTTCATAAAATTAGATATGGGGGTGTTAATAAATATAAAAAAAATATTTCTGCCATGACTTTAATAAAAAAAACAAATTCATAATAATTTCGATCATCTGTGAATATTTTCTGAAAGTTTCATTAACATCTGACAATTATTTTTATTTTTGCAAGATTTTCCAAATTAATAGGTATAATACCAAAAAAACGCGCTAAAAATTATCTATGTTATTTAGTACTCCTTATTGCAAAAAAGATAAACAAGGTTTTTTAAATCAAAATTTAGAATATTCTAAAAAGATGGAAAAATTTTGAAAAATAATTAAAAAAAAATTTGGTCTATCCTCTTCATAAAAACATAAGCATTTTGACGATAAAATTTTGTTTTCATAAATTTTGGCGTCTTTTTCATCAGACTATGCTCTATTTTTTTAAATGCCGTAGAGATACCTACACTTAGTATATGAAATGTTCCGAGTAGGGCGATCTTCTGGGCAACTTGTGTGTTGATGTTACCTGGGAGACTTTTCGTAAAATTGCCCATTCCTTTTCTCACGAGACCCAAAGCTCCGATTACTATAGGTACAGTCCCAGTCTTCATTTCCCACATTCTGTTAATCTCGATCTTCATGTCCTTGTATTTGGAGAATTTCTCGATATTTTTCATGGGGGGATTTCTCTCAGATGGTACTGTAGTGTCAATAAGCAAACACTTCCTGAATTTCTTGTCTTCTATGATAATATCAGGTCTGTTGGCTTTTCTTCCCTGTCAGTTGGAATTGGAATGTCCCAGAGGATAGTTGCATCGTTATTTTGGGTAACTGTGCCTGGTGGTCATACCATCTCTCAGTGGTTTCGATTTTGTGCTTCTTGCATATCTTCCAGTTCACATATGTAGCTAGCTTGTTATGTCTGTGAATATATTCATGTTTTGCTTGTTCCGAACATCCTGAGGTAATATGGTCGACAGTTTTGTCATATTTTCTGCAGATCCTTCATTTCGGATCACTTCCATCCTTGATTAAGTGACAATGATTATTATTATTATTATTATTATTATTATTATTATTATTATTATATTTTTTTTTGATTTCTGTGTATACTCATTTATTTCCGGGTCCCAACCAGAGACCTAAAGTCAGAAATAACATCATGACGTTCTAAATAAATGAATAAAAGATCACATATATTTTACAATGAGAAAACCCTTCGTAAGGTGTGGGTTGTACTTGTGAGTACAATTTTTTTGTATTTCTTTAAGGCATGGGATTCCAGGAATCCCTTCAATGAGTCTATTGAAATCTTTTCCAAATCAATCCGAGGGCTCCAAATGGAATTGTTGATGTCCTCATGTGCCACAATTTTGAGATTTCCATTTCAATGTCCTTGTATTTTGATACATATTATTATTATTATTATTATTATATAAAATGTTTGCTGAACATGAAAATGCCGGATGATTGTCTTAAAAGTGTAGAGATTTCATAATTATTTCCTGAAATTTTTACGTTCATGTAACATTTTTCGACGTAATACAAATGGAATTTTCTGTTATTTCCGTCTTGACGAATAAACGACAAATTTCATTTACGAGTTTTTCTTTATCTTAGAGATAACTGGATAGCAATTTTGTAATTGCATTCTACCAATGCAATATGAAAACAGCTAAATGAGATAGATAGATAGATAGATAGATAGATAGATAGATAGATAGATAGATATAGATAGATAGATAGATAGATAAAACAGACTGAGATAAAAACAGATGAGATAGATAGATAGATAGATAGATAGATAGATAGATAGAAACAGACTGAGATAGATAGATAGATAGATAGATAGATAGATAGATAGATAGATAGATATGAAAAGACAAATAGATAGATAAATAGATTGAAACAGACCGAGATAGATAAGTAGATAGATATGAAAAAACAAACAGCCAGATAGATAGATACATAGATAGAAAGAAACAGACTGATATATATATATCGATAGATAGATAGATAAATAGATAGATAGATAGATAGATAGATAGATAGATAGAAACAGACTGAGAAAGAAAGAAAGAAAGAAAGAAACAGACAGAGTGAGATTTTTTTATCCTTGAGATAATTGGATAGTAATTTTGTAATTGCATTCTACCAATGTAATCAGAAAACAGTTAGATAGATAGATAGATAGATAGTAACAGACTGAAATATATATATATATATATATATATATATATATATATATATAGATAGATAGATAGATAGATAGATAGATAGATAGATAAGCAGACAGACAGAAAGAGACAAAGAGAGACAAATAGAAACAGACTGAGATAGATAGATAGATAGATAGATAGAAAGAAAGAAAGAAAGAAAGAAAGAAGGAAAGAAAAAGAAACAGAGATTGATATTTCGTATGCTGAGATAACTGTATATTAATTTTGTAATTGAATTCTACCAATGTAATATGAAAACTGTTAAATATGGTCCTACATTTCGACTGTTATAATAATAATAACAATAATATTAGCCGAGTGATCTTTACAGTGAATAAATTTAATTTTCCTTTGAGAACTGTATCCTTCTAAACATTCCGCTGCATTCTTTTCAGAATACCCTTGACTTTCCAAGATAAGGCTTGCTTCGGGATTGTTCCGCGCACATAGAAATGTATTCAGCTTAGCGCAGTAACCGGCCAAATGCTCCGAATCTTATTATTAGAAAGCATCTTTTTGGGATGGAACCGAACCGATGAAGCTGCGTCATGGAAACGAGGAGAGCAAAGACGAAATCTGTGCACGGACGACGCCAAAATGTTCTGCTTCCTTTGCTTGTGGCGTATATTTGATCTCCCTTCGTCCGTTTATAATCTATATTTCGCCCTTTTTATGGTATTTTCGGCAAAGTGTCTCCATCATTTGACATCTAATCTCAGTTTTTCATATAACGGCCTGAGCTTGTCCATATCTGTCACATTCTCATTTTTTTACTTTCTATCTATCTATCTATCTATCTATCTATCTAGATAGATAGATAGATAGATAGATAGATAGATAGGTAGAAACAGACCGAGATAGATAGATAGATAGATAGATAGATAGATAGATAGATAGATAGATAGATAGAGAGATTGAAACAGACCGAGATAGATAAGTAGATAGATATGAAAAAACAGCCATATAGATAGATACATACATAGAAAGAAACAGACTGATATATATATATATATATATATATATATATATATATATATATATATATATATATATAGATAGATAGATAGATAGATAGATAGATAGATATGATCAATAGCTTGGTAAATGGTTTGTGAAGGATTTTATGTGTCATATATTTTATGTATAATGTGCTAGATCAGTCCTTTAAATGTTGTTCTTTAAATAGATACTGTATTAACGGACTCTGTTAAGATTGTATTACTTGAGCAGACACAGAGAATTACTGCCTTTAAAATGTGTAATCAAAAGACATGCTCTCAGGCAAACAGAATGACTGAATGTTGTCGCCTGCTTACATTGTCGCTCTTAAATTATTGGACCTATTTATCAGGCCAACTGAATCGTGATACCAGAACGAAAACGGCCGAATTATCAAATAAAAAGAACTGCCACTACCTAACCTCGCTGGCATCTTCATTAGAACCCGGTCGGCCAGTCCAGGAAAGGAAATCAGCAGAGATACATCAGCAAAAATCTAACGAGATATGCATTAGGTCAGCTGTCCGTCATCGCCATCTTGATTCGCGGTTTTCATTTTGACTTCCTCAACAAAAAAAGAAAAAAAAATCTAGCCAACATTCTGGGAAAGACTTCTTTATTTACAACCCGCGGCCTTCTCTGCGACTGCAGACATTCTCAGTATTTGCTTGAATGAAAGGTGCTTAACTTTCAGCAGATAGGGTTATTGCTATTTCCATTTCATTAAGAGTTGGCGTCAGTATAAGAGGGCGGCTTTTATTGGAGACCAAGTGACAGTAAATTCTTTTACTGCTCCAACACTTATCCTTATTCTAGCTGAACTGAAATGGTGGTACGGATGGCTTCAGTTTTGCCCCTATTTTATCTTGGGAGGAGGCATTTCATCAGCGCCGATTCAACACCGCCGACTCACCACCGGTCTCCAACTGAATATTTGAAAGGAATTGCATACAATTTTCAATAATTTTTTAAATTAAAAGTGAAGTCAAGTATTTAAAAAAATGATCCTTAATAAATTAATTTTATTCGGTTTTAAAAAGTTAATTACTTTTACCGTATATCTTGGCATACAAGGCGGCCTTTTAAACTTAACACCTCCCCCACCATAAAACAGAGAGAGACGTCTTATACTCCCGGTATAAAATGTGAACCTTAAATCCTGTTTGTTTATGGTAAGTTTTTAGCAAGGGAGATATTTGACGGTATGCTAACTCCTGCCTTCGTATCTTTCGACATAAATATTTTTGACTGAAACAACTTAATATACATTATGACAATATATTAATAAATGTAGCGTGTAATAAAAGTACTCTTACCTTATATAATATGTAAGTATGATTGCGGTCATTTAGACATAGCGCCCCCTCCTGAAGTACTGTTGTTTGCGGAAGTTAATTAACAATTTTCATTAGAATCTGAGTGAAAAGAGAGTATATTTTTACTGGATTTATGTAATAAAATCAATACAACAGAAATAAAAATGCTATTTGGAGGGGTCGTCTTGTACGGTGAATGACAATATAACATAATATATGACACAATATCTCCACACGTGACAACAATTGACGTAATTTTCAGTTAACAGTATGAAAATAGCGTTCTCTCAATTCTTTCAGTTGCTAAGGACATTTTGTTTTTGTTATTATTAGTTACTTTGTTTAAATAAATTCATTTCGTTTTTGCCTTGAGAAAGTCCACATTGGATAAATAAAGAAAGAAAGAAAGAAAGAGAGACGAGAAAGAGAGACGAGAAAGGCTACTTAGAAAGAAAGAAAGAAAAAAGAAAGAAAGAAAGAAAGAATAAAAGAAAGAAAGAAAGAAAGACGAGAAAGGCAAAATAAGAAAGAAAGAAAGAAAGAAAGAAAGACGAGAAAGGCAACTTAGAAAGAAAGAAAGACGGGAAAGGCAACTTAGAAAGAAAGAAAGAAAAAGAAAGAAAGAAAGAAAGAAAGAAAGAGAGACGAGAAAGAGAGAAAGAGAAACGAGAAAGAAAGAAAGACGAGAAAGGCTACTTAGAAAGAAAGAAAGAAAGAAAGAAAGAAAGAGAGAGGAGAAAGAAAGAAAGAAAGAAAGAATGAGGAGAAAGGCAACTTAGAAAGAAAGAAAGAAAGAAAGAAAGAAAGAAAGAAAGAAAGAAAGAAAGAAAGAAAGAAAGATAGAAAGAAAGAAAGACGAGAAAGGCAACTTAGAAAGAAAGAAAGACGGGAAAGGCAACTTAGAAAGAAAGAAAGAAAGAAAGAAAGAAAGAAAGAAAGAAAGAAAGAAAGAAAGAAAGAAAGAAAGAAAGAAAGAAATTGCTTTTCGAAAGAAAAACGAACCTAGAATAACCAAGTACCATATAAGAAAGAAAGAAAGAAAGAAAGAAAGAAAGAAAGAAAGAAAGAATAAAAGAAAGAAAGAAAGAAAGAAAGAAAGGCAAAATAAGAAAGACGAGAAAGAAAAAATAAAAGAAAGAAAAAACGACGAAAAGGCAACTTAGAAAGAAAAGAAAGAAGGGAAAGGAAAGAAAGAAAGAAAGAAAGAAAGAAAGAAAGAAAAAGAAAGAAAGAAAGAAAGAAAGAAAGAAATTGGTTTTCATAAGAAAAACGAACCTGGAATAACCAAGTACCATATCAGAAAGAAAGAAAGAATAAAAGAAATAAAGAAAGAAAGAAAGAAAGGAAAGGAAAAAGAAAGAAAAAAGAAAAGAAAGAAAGAAAAATAAGAAAGAAAAAGGCAAAATAAGAAAGAAAGAAAAGAAAGAAAGAAAGAAAGAAAGAAAGAAAGAAAAAGGCAACTTAGAAAGAAAGAAAGAAAGAAAGAAAGAAGAGAAATGCAAGATAAAGAAAGAAAGATGAGAAATGCAAGAAAAGAAAGAAAGAAAGAAAGAAAGAAAGACGAGAAATGCAAGATAAGAAAGAAAGAAAGAAAGAAAGAAAGAAAGAAAGAAAGACGAGAAAGGCAAGATAAGAAAGAAAGAAAGACGAGAAAGAAAGACGAGAAAGAAAGACGAGAAAGGCAAGATAAGAAAGAAAGAATGGCTCATTATTTTATCGGTTCTCCGTTCTGTTCAATTGCTTTTTTTTTTATTGTTATTTTTCTTTTGTTGATTAACTGGTTCTTCCTCGTTTTGGTTCAGGTCGCCATTAAATACTAACAGTTTACACAAGGATTAATGGATTCCGAACACATCAGCCGACAAAAATGAGAAGAACACTTTGGCTAATGGCGGGAATATTGCCAAGGCTTCAAATCAGAATTTCAAACAGCCAATCAAATCATTAGACAAGGCCTGATAACCCGCTATCATGCTGTCAAATTATTCGTTCTGTGGAAATGTTTTCAGCATCATTTTTTTTTTTTTTTAACTTAAAAAAATGATTTTCAAGTCTGTAATCGGACTCTAGTTAAAAAGAATGAAGTGTGCGGAGAACTTTTACGCATACTTTACAATTCATGCAAGAATCGGTAATTAGCTTCCACCAGAGACTCATGGTTAGTTTGCTTTTCTAGCAAAACAATAAGCTGCTCCTTTACAGAGAACATTACAAATATAACCTTGGACCAGATTTAATATGATATAACGTCTTCGGATGAATATATAGTATTATAAATTTATCGGAAGACGTTCTTTTTTTAGGAGGTTGATGGGTGACATGAAGTGACTCTTACTGCTGTTATAGTGCGGTTTTGGGATTTATGAAAGGGAATTCAATTTAAGAATGCCCGATTGGCAGTTAGGTCTCATCATTCTGCTGTTGAAACTGTTAGATGCAACTGTAAGTTTTATTCTAATAGTTCCTTCTCTCATAATTTTCACTCGCGAAACACTTTTTCAGCCTCTTGTCTTCATGTCAGCTATGATCTTCAAAAATTTCGATTGTCATCTTGTTTCCTTGAACCCTGTTCTTTCTCTTATTGTCCTCTCTCTTCAATAACGTTTTCTCAATTTATTTCACTCTCAGTCAGCCATTGAGTCTTAGTGGCTCTATCGCCTTATTTGATTGTGGTAGTGGTGGGGTAAACGATTTTAAAAACAGCAAAAGTGGTTGAGTCACGACTGCTCGTTTTGTTAGTTGTTTTGTTTTGTTGTTTAGGCATATCAATCGCTATGGGTTATTTATTACCAATATCTAATATATTGTCGGCAATTTTATTTATTTTTTGCTCATTTTATTTTTTGAGATAATAATTGTTTAGTTATACAAGCCTTACTCATTAACCCATAGTTGAGGGGTTAACAGATCGATTCATACGTTTACCAAGAGTATTTGCACGTAAGTGTATTTAACGAACCTAACGAGAATTGGAACTTCGAATAACAATTATTAAATAGTTATTATACAATGCATCACCGCATATCCAAGATACCCTCAAGCGGTCACCCATCAAGGTACTAACGAGGCTCGACGTTGCTTAACCTTGGTGATATGGCCTTAAACCTGGTCGCTTTATGGCCAATAGTATGCGTTAATATATGGCTTGTGCATGTGTATGCCCATGTGTGTGTGTGTGTCTGTTTTGTGCGTCTGCTTGTGCTTGCGCATGTGTGTGCCTGTGTTTGTGTCATTGTGTACGTGTGTGTTGTTTCAAAGGCTAACAAAGATCTCTTTTCTCGATACGTTAATTAATTACCACTATTCTACCATTTTCCTTCTGTGTATGAATAATCTTTTATTCATTTTTATACTCTTGTCTTTCTCGCTATGAATCCTCGTTCTCGGAACTAGTGCAAACTTTCATGGCATCCCACAACAAAGGTCTTTATCATATTCATGAAAAAAAAATTCTTAGCTATCAAAAGCTTAATTAGTAATTGACTGTAAGGGAAAATACTTTTTTTTTTATTCTTTAGAAGATTAATAATTAAAAACAAGGACCTGATTAGGATGATTTCATTGTGGGATTTGTTTTACTGATCAGACTTACTGGATATTTCGTTTTTTTACAAGTGCATTAAGTTTTAAAAGGGCATTGACTTTGCTGTTTCGATAATTTAATCTATAGGCTGAAGACAAGATTAATCTCTCTTTACTCCCTGGGCAGAACATAGCCCGATCGAGTTCTGCCCCGGTCCATAAAATATATTTAGTGCATTGTGTATTTAAAAAAAAAAATTACCTCATGGACGTCCGTACGTAAAAAGAGTCTCGTGGGGAAGCCATATTGTTTTTATGCTGACAAATTAACACAAGTTCACGGCGACCACGAGATTTGAGAAAATATAAATATGCAGTGTACGAAAGACGTGGTGGGGGTGGAGAGAACAGGAAGTTAGTCTACAAACGACCAAACAATGCAACATGTACACTTTGTCACTCAGGATTAGCACCTACTAAAGAACTTAGGCCAGTCTCTTGAATTTAAATTACACATTGTCCATCAATCTAAGAAAATATATTATTTTTTTCATGATTTGTTCTGGCTTTTATTATCTTTTTTTTTCTGATTAACATACCTTCTGCAATTTTGAATCGAGTCAGTTACATTCCAAGAATCTTTTCTGACAATTCATTGAATGCTTTTTAGTTTTAGTGTTATTTACAGGGGAACGGATATCATTTGAAGAGATTTT